TATATATATATATGTATATATATATATAGGGAGCGTATCAAGTGAGAATGAATTTATTATGAGAGATGAGAGGGTTAAAATATAGCTCTTAGAATAATTTTCTCTCACTTAATTAAATTCCAAATTTTTTCTCACTTGATTAATCTAAGGATTATATTTTAACTTTTTCATCTCTCATGATAAATTCTCTCTCACTTAATATGCTTCCTTTATATATATATATATATATATATATATATAAACCATCAAAATAAAACAAAAATAACATTTTCATGTTCTTTGGATAATTTTTTTATTACAAATAAATATCATATTTTATCATTTTATTATATCTAACCACTAATCTTAAATTTATTATATTAATTAGGAGAAAAGACACATTTCCTGTCACTTTTTTTGCTAGATAAATAAAAAGATAAAGCATAGTTATTTAAAGAGGACAAGGTGATTTAAGAGGATAACACATAAAATTGAAAATAAAAACAAATAAAAAGAAAATACACTAAGAGAGAAAATATGGTTTAATTTTTTAGTAAAATAAAAAAGTGTAAAAATATTCATATAAAAAATTTTAAATTATATAATGATATATACTAGTACTAAATATCTTTTAACCTCAAAATTGTGAGATAAATTAATTTTTATCATTCAAATTTAAAATTCATATCACTACTAATTTATTTTTAATTTCTATAATTTTAAAAAATAAACTCTTATACATTAAACACAAATAACTATCTTAGACTAGAACATTTTTATGATTTTTTTATTAAGGGGTTTTTTAAAGAATATTTTTAACTCATTCTTTAATTCAGTTTTATCATAATTATATATGAATTAAAGTTTAATATTTTTAAAATATTTTATTAATAATTAAAAATAATCTTATATTATAGTTTGAATTATTTATTATAAATTTATAATATAATTTGTATATTAATTTTTTTTATTTATACAAATTATAGATATAATTTATATATTTAAATATAAAATTCCAAGTGTGTGGTTCAGTAGTAAAAGTTGATTCACCCTTAAACAAGGTCAGGGATTCGAATCTTATCTTGTGTATGCAGCCGTGTTAAATTAACAAAATATATATATATATATATATATATAATATTTATTTATATATAATTATAAATCTTATTATATTGCACGTTATTTTAGTATTCCAAATCATTAGGCGCATCATCAACATATACAAGTTCATTGGTGGCAAAAAAAAAATGAAGAAAAAACCATATACAAGTTGATTCAACTATGCTGTAACAGTTAAATTTAATGTTCAGTGCGATGTTTTTCATTGACAAAACAGTTTTCTGACAAATTTATTAATAATTAAGACTAAATTATATTTATATTTTTTATTTTATTTTTAAAATTTATTTTGATCATCTATCTATTAAAATGTTCATTATGATCATTTATCTTTAATATTTGAATTAATTTAGTCATTTTAAACAATGATTATTTCCAATTTTATGACATAATTTTGAATAATTTTTGAATGATTCAAAATGCAAAACTTCTAATATTAGATTCACCAAAAATATAATTTTATATTATTTTATAATTATTTATGAGATATATTTATAAATAATTTTTATTATTATTATAAATAAATAAAATAATATCTTTTATTATATATTATAGATAGATAAAATAATCTCTGTTATAGATAAATAAATTTAATATTATAAATGTCATGTATTGAATTATTAAAAATTGATTAAAAATTATGTAATAAAATAAAAAATAATAACTATTTTAAAATATCAAATCAATTTAAATATAAAGATAAAAGATAAAAGATAAAAAAAAAAATATACCTTTTAACAAATTAAAATGAATCCGAAAAAAAAAAA